GTATTGGTATTGGTATTGGTATTGGTATATCGGGTGCTCTTGTAGTGTAGATAAATTTTTGTAGGGTGGCTATGAGAGGGGAAGAATAGCCACTGAAAATATGCCTTGCTGGGCTAGATTCAGGGGTCCCTCTTAGCCCACTGCTTCAAATGGAGCCCCTCAGCATCAGCTCCAGAATTCATGGGAAAGGATAGTGACCTGATGGAATCTGTTTGGATTTAATTTGGTATAAGGAACAACTATTTTCAAAGAGATGATGGGCATGGTGCCTGTGGTTTAGAGTAGTTGGAGGCACACAGTTTCAGTTTTTGAAGCTGCAGATATTTTCTGTTCCTAACGTCTAGCCTTGGGTAGTCATACCATCTATGAATGAATTTAAATGAATTTAAATCATAGATGATAAGTTTGATAAGAGGTTTTTTATCTAACTCCCAAGTTGATAACATTTTATTTTTTAATCTTTTTTGTATTTTTAAAAAATCTGCTACTAATGCTGTTGGCTGTCAGAACAAATGAGGTAATGAATTCTACAAGTTAATTTGCACTACACCAAAAGTCAGAATCTCGGCTCTTCCTGTATTCCAGTATTAGCTATTTTGACCAAGAGGCTGTCCAAAGTCTTGGGCAGAACAGAATACTTTTTCCTCCTACTCTCTTAGGTCCTCTAAAAACGAGTGGTTTTGTAGATAGATCATTTACCGCTATGCTGTGACCTTTTCCCATAGTTTTTTTTTAAGATTTTTTTTCCCACTTCAAATGACCTATCAACCCATCTCATTCTATGACTTGGAGTTCTAGTGAACGAAAAAAGAATAATGTCTGTATCAGCAGACTTTTTAAACTGTTTATCATCTTAGCGTGCCACCCATTAAAAAAAGAAGAAAAATGAATACATAGGCTAGACAAGGCTGTACTCTTAATAGTAACATCTGTGATTTTCTGTTCATTGCAGGCCATGCTGGAGGAGCTGAATTTTGGGGCATATTTAGGGCTCCCAGCATTCCTCCTTCCCTTGACACAGGCAGACAACCCCAACCTGGCACGTGTTCTGTGTAATCATATCAATACCGGCCATCACACTTCCATGGTATGTCCAGCAAATATATTCTGCCCTCTCCAAACCCACAGCCGGAGATCCATGGAACGTCTACAGTATCTGGGTTGATACATCATTTCCATGACACCTCCCTTCCTTGTATTTACGTTACTTTCTGTTCATGACATTCATTAAGCAAAAGTGGGGATGATCTTACAAAGAGGTCATTTCAGATGACATGACAATGGCTCTTGGAGGAAAAAGGCCAAACTCCCCGCTTCCCCTGCCACTCCTGAATTTGTTATCCAAACAGATTTAAGTAACTCCAAGTAAATGAAGATACAAACTGAGTATTGCACTGCGCTAAAAGCATCCTTATTTAGGGGGGGCAACTATTCCCCACATAAAATGGGACAGAAATCTTAAGCGGGCTGGAGTAATCCTTTAATATCCTTACAAATGTTGCTCTGTCACTGGCGTACAAACCCTACAGTATTCTTCATGCCCATAAATAGATCTATCGTGGACTTAGTGCCTGGGTCAATTCTTGGACACCCTCTTTTCTCTCTCCCATGCCAGTTCTGGATGCGGGTCCCGCTGTTGGCCCCAGAAGACTTGAGGGACGATGTGATTGAAAACGAGGCTGTGCAGGGAGTGGAGGATGAGTGCACAGGCGAGGAGAAGACCTGGCAGTGGTGAGTGAGAAATCTAAGAGTGTAGGGGAGTTTGGCAGATGTTTGAAATACGGGATGAACTGAGTGATAAAATCAGGTTTCTCAGGCAGTTTGAGTAGTTACATAGTTGTATTCCTGGAGGTAAATCTTGTTGGATCTGACCTAAGGCTGCTGAATTCAATCAACCTGCTACTGCATCCCCTGTAATAATTTATCTCAAGAGAGAAGTCAGCCAAGACCCCAAATGTGGCCGTAGGTTATTCTCTTAAAATACATATGTTCCCATTTGAAAGTTATTTATTTTGAATATTTCCTCTGTAAGAGAAAATGGGTTTGAAGGGCTAATTTTGGGCAGCTTTAAACAAAAAAGTCTGTTACTATTGCCAGGATGTTGAGTGGGATTGCTTCAATTCTTTCTCACAAGCTAAATCCACTTTCTGAGTCACCTCCCGGTGATGTCACCCCCACCTGCTAATTTGGTGAGCAAGTCCTGGAGAAAAGAGAGAGGAAGGAAAGGAGTGAATAATATAGAGGAAGAGGTGGGAGATGCCAGCCTTCCAGCATGCCCAAATTAGCTTCTTGTTTTTACAGGTGGCATAACTTCCGAACATTGTGCGATTACAACAAGCGTGTTGCCGTGGGTAAGTGCTGAGGCGAGAAGCGCCTGAATGGGGAGTTGCCACACTATGGCATCTCGCTTCTCCCATTGACAATTCTTTCCATCCATTCCTGGCAGCACTGGAGGTGGGCCCAGACTTGCCATCCAATCATGTCATTGACCGCTGGTTGGGTGAGCCAATCAAAGCGGCCATTCTACCCACCAGCATCTTCTTGACCAATAAGAAAGGCTTCCCTGTTCTCTCCAAAATGCATCAGCGCCTGGTCTTTCGCCTCCTTAAAGTAAGTCTTTTTTTACTTCTGTTTGGCTCATCCCCTTGTCTGTCAAACCGATTGGACTGCCTTTTCCCCCCCTCATTTTGGTGTTCAGAACTTATTAATCCAATCAATTACGCTGGTTGCCTGTTGGTTTCCAGGCCCAATTTAAGCTAGTGTTATTAACTTTGAGGACCCTGTCTGATTTAAATAAACTATATCCTACAACTGTTGTGAAGCTAAATGTGAAAAGTGGGAGAAATAAAATAGGTGTCTGGCGCTTAATTGGCTGGGGTGACTCGGAAATAATCATCATGTCTCTGCTTATGGCTTTCTCATTTTTTTCCTCTCTTCCCTGATTGTTTCTCTGTATCTATTTTTTTTTTAATATGAATCATGCCTCTTTCGCATTAAGCAATATTGAAATTGCTCAGGTTGATCCCTGTTTCTTCTCTCGCTCAGCTTGAGGTACAGTTCATCATCACAGGAGCCCACCACCATCCAGAGAAGGAATTCTGCTCATACTTGCAATACTTGGAGTATCTTAGCCAGAATCGCCCACCTCCTTCTGCTTATGAGCTTTTTGCAAAAGGCTATGAAGACTACCTCCAGTCTCCATTGCAGGTGAGTCTTCTCTTCTGAATATATTGGACTGAACCTCAAGAGATTTGGGGCCAAGACTTCCTTAAGTATTCAGAATTATTTCCCCTCACTGCACTGGAAACAAACGTTGCTGAGGACAGTGTCCTTTGGCTCCTGGAAAAGCTGAATTCTCCAGCTGTGCTCTGCAAATTTGCTTCTTGCCTTTATCCCCGATACAAATCCCTCTCCTTGATTCTTGATCCTGATAGCCCTTGATGGACAACTTGGAATCCCAGACCTATGAAGTCTTTGAGAAGGACCCTATCAAATACTCCCAGTACCAACAGGTCAGTTTGCAAGGGGAAGAGGTGAGGCACCTGCTGGCACAATAAAGGGTCTACAAGAGGGGCAGGAAGCATCAAATGAAGGTGCTGCCAATGGCTGAGGAAAGAGGGGACCAGTGTCTGGGAATACAGGAGGAAGGCTAGATCATTGAAGGGCCACTGAGATTTGGAAAGTAGCTAGGAGGGGCTAGGAGGAGGGGCAATCTAAGAAATGTTTGCGGAGCAGGAGATTTGAGGTGGAGTTACCCTTTGCTTGTTCTAGACGGGGAAACTAAGCTGTCCTTTTGCTTTCCTCTGCTCAGGCTATATACAAGTGCCTCTTAGACCGTGTTCCTGATGAGGAGAAAGAGACCAATGTCCAGTGAGTAGGAATCCCCAACACGGAGATGGGCATGGGGCCACGGTCCTCGGACGTGGGATAAGATTTGCAAGATACACTTGCCTGCTATTTTCCACTTTGCAAGCTTCCTAGAAAAGCATATCGCTTTGGTACAAGGTCTATTGCCGTTGTTATAGGAACGAAACAAGTCCATCCAGCATCAATTATCCTGGGTTCCTTTCATTAAGTAATATCAGGGAATAATAAGCTGAAAAATGGCCTCTCCCTCATTTTTCCCCCTCTTGTGATGGAATGGAATTATGAAGGCCAGGTTCAGGGAGATAAGCATTTTCTTAGCTCGCCGCAAGAGTGTGGGAACTACAAGAGGATGAGGCTGGCACCTCCCTGAGGAATTCACAGTGTTGTGGCTGGCTGACTTATGAGCTGGGGGTTTAGGCTGGGGAGATTTTTGCTAGAGGGTGTAGCTTATAAAAAAAAGT